TGCAGCCGGCGGCTCCCCGGCCTGGCGCTGTCTTCTGTGTGTGCCCTGTGTGTAAATGTCCCCTTTTTAAAAAAAAATAAATTGCTACATCATATTTTTTGATTTGGGGTTTTTTGGGGGGGGAGCTAGGTTTATTTATTTGTTTATCTGTCTGTTTTTTAATACCCTCCCTCCCCCAAATGGGTTTCTTAATGTGACCCTTCGATCACTGGTCTCCAAGCCGCTGGCCCTGTGGACAGAGCGCAGACCGTGTCTTTTCCGCTCATGGAGGTCACGTTTCCAAGTGTGGTTTGTGTGCTGGAGAAGAGAGTTGACTGTTCGCCTCTGTGATGGGGTGAACCGTGCTCGCCACAAAAAGACACGCTGCAGCCCAACCCCCAGGCCCTCAGAAGGTGACTGCCCTTGGAGGTGGGGACTTCACAGAGGCCACCGAGTTAAAATGGAGTCATTTGGGTGGCCCTGACCCCCCGCGACTGTGTCCTTATAGAAAGGGGACGTTTGGGGGAGGGTACAGCTCAGCAGTGGAGCATGTACTCAGCATGCACAAGGTCCCAGTGCAATCCCCAGCACCTCCACCAAGGAACAGACAAGCAAAGAAACCAGCCTAGCCCCCCACCCCTCAACAACGGCACCCACTGGAAACTGTTCAGCCCCCGGCGTGTCCCGTCTGGGGCGGCCATGAGCCCTCTCGCCTTCCTGAGCGCCGCCGAGTCTCTTCCAGGCGGTTCCAGGGACACCCGCCCTCAGGCTTGTCTCTGTCCCACAGGAAACGGCACGTCAGCGACCAGCCCTGCCCTGTGGACTGGCGCGCCCCCGCCGAACTGCACCATGGCCTTCGAGGAGAGCAGGGTGTTCCTGGTGGCGGTGTACAGCGCCGTGTGCATGCTGGGTCTCCCGGCCAACTGCCTGACGGCGTGGCTGACGCTGCTGCAGGCGCTGCAGGGCAACGTGCTGGCCGTCTACCTCTTCTGCCTGGCGCTCTGCGAGCTGCTCTACATCGGCACCCTGCCGCTCTGGGTCATCTACGTCCAGAGGCAGCACCGCTGGACCCTGGGCCCCTGGGCCTGCAAGGTGACCGCCTACATCTTCTTCTGCAACCTCTACGTCAGCATCCTCTTCCTGTGCTGCGTCTCCTGCGACCGCTTCGTAGCAGTGGTGTACGCACTGGAGAGCCGGGGCCGCCGCCACCAGAAGACCGCCGTGCTGGTCTCAGCCTCCATCTTCATCCTTGTCGGGCTCGTCCATTACCCGGTGTTTCAAATGGAGGACAATGACACCTGCTTCGAGACGCTGCCAATGAACCGCGGGGTGGCAGTGTACTACTACGCGAGGTTCACGGCAGGCTTCGCCGCCCCCATGTCCATCATCGCCTTCACCAACCAGCGTATCTTCCGGAGCACCAAGCTGAGCACCGGCCTGAGCGCCGCCCAGAAGGCCAAGGTGAAGCAGCTGGCCATCGCGGTCGTGGCCATCTTCCTGTTTTGCTTTGCTCCCTATCACCTGGTGCTCCTGGCCAAAGCCGTCGCCTTCTCCTACTACAGGGGAGACGCCGACTCTGTGTGCGCCTTCGAAGCCAGACTGTACACCACCTCCATGGTGTTCCTGGGCCTGGCCACGGTCAACAGCGTGGCTGACCCCATCATCTACATGCTGGCCACGGGACTTTCGCGCCAAGAATTGTGCAGAATCCATAAGGAGTGGAAAAAGTTGTCCACAAAGGCGGACGTCACCAAGCTCACGTGCTCCAAGGACTCGGAGGAGGTGCAGCTGCCCACGCCACTCACAGATGGCTGCACACACGCTCCCGGGCCATGGCCGGGTGCCCTGGAGAGGCTGACCGAGGACACGTGCTGAGCTCAGCCTGCCGCAGGGCAGGACACCGGCACCGTGACTGCTCTGCCACTGAGCCCACCAGCCAGTGTCCACGGCGCCAGCTGTGGAGCCCCGTCCAGATGACACACCCCCTATTTCTCATGCCTGGAGCCTGCCCCTTGGGGGTCCCGGTCTCCCAGGCGTCCCCACTGGGTACAGAAACCCCCTGAGGAAGGTGGCGGCACGCCAGAGTGAGGGCGCGCCTTCAGGCTGCGGGAGAGCGCGCGGCAGGCAGGAGGGCGTGCTCTGGCCGGCTCGGCTATTAGCAAACAGCGGGGCTGCTGGCAGTGGCCGTGTGCATGTCTGGGGCTGCTGGCAGCTGGCCCAGCCGTGCACGGGGAGGTGCCTGTCAGCCCCCTAGTGATGACTTTATTCTCTGTGCTTTTCTGCAGGCGTCACCTGAATGGCTTGGAAGGGAGACGGCGGGGCCTCTGTGCTTCTGCCTCAGAACCTTCGTGCAGGCAGGCCTGGTCACCAGGGGCCAGGAGCCCAGCCCTGAGGGCCCTCGGCTGCGGCTGATGCTGCACTGGGCTGCAGACGCTCAGGGGAGCTGCGGGGTGGGTGCAGCCCACGCGTCCTGCAGGGAGCCCAGGTACCCTGTCAGGGACACCGTCAGCCAGGCGTCCGCTGTGCACCCCAGGAAGGACGATGTGTTGCCACAGGGCTTGGAGAATGGCTACGATTTCTTCTCATCAAGGCTTCCCGGCTTGGTTGTCCGGGGAGAAGCTGGTTGCGGGTTCTGGCCAGTCCAGCCCCTCACCAAGGCACCGATGGAGCATGGATGGAGCACAGAACTGGGTGCTCGGGGAGACAGTGGGCTCCTGGGAACTGCGCAGCTGAGTGAAATCCGGGTCCTGCCCCAACCAGCCCCATTGCCAGGTCGCATGGCCGCCTCGGTTTCCCCATCTGTGACAGGGCCAGCGACCCTGCCCTTAGTAGTGGGGTTGGGTCCGGTGGGGGCTGACCCACTAGCTCTGCCTCAGGCACGCCCCCCGTGCCCGCAGCACAGCGGCCTGGAACCGCCTGGATGGACCGGGGCTCTCGGCTCCCTGGGCAGCCGCAGAGTGGCCTCTTCACGGGAGAGACTGAGAAGATACACGGTTTAGAAAACACGTTTAGAAATAAAAATACGAAACAACCGTGGGTGCCAACTTCCTTTTTAAGTAGAAAACTGTCATCTCGCCTGTGCAGGCACGTGTCCCATCCAGGACTTTCCTGGAGGCCAAGCCCGTGAGGGGCCGTCTGGTGGGCTCGCCAAGTGACTGGCAGGGGCCCCAGGAGCAGCCGGCGGGTCAGGGCTGGGATCGCAGGACGCTTCCACAGTGAGGTAGGGCCTGTTCGCTTCCTGGGCCGCTGTCACTACCGCAAGCTGAGCGGCTTAGAGCAGACACGGTGTTCTCCCCGTCTGGGGCTGGGAGCCTGAGAGTAGGCTGTGGGCAGGGCGGTCCCTCCTGAGGCTCCGGGGGAGGCGGCGCCTGGCCTCACTCTCAGCCTTGGTGTTGCACCAGCCTTGGCTGCTCTGGGCTCGTGGCCGCGTCACTCCCAGGCCCGCCCTGTCTCGCGCGGCCTCCTCCTCCGTCTTCCCTCTGGCTCCCTGGATTCAGGGCTCACCTGGATAATCTGGGACGATCCTGTCAGCTGATCCTTACTCGTGACGCCTGCAAATAGGGAGCGACACCCCTACTTCTAAATAAGGCCCTGTCCACGGGGGCCATAGGGTCGGAGGCAGAGGTACCCTTCGGGGGCCAAGCCTGCCCACTGCAAGTGGCAAGAAGGAGCCAGAACCGCGCTGCGTGGTCCCCGGGCAGGAACGGCCCCCGCACTCGCCACTCACCCCGACTCGCTCTGCGCCTGTCGCCACCCACCCCGCCGTGCCATGACAAACGCGGGGAGGCATGGTCACCGCCCAAGCCCTCCACACCTGCCTCCAGGAGTGGCACCTGTCAGCTGTGCACCGTCCCCCAGTTGCTCCCTCCTTCCCCCTCCCCCAGAGTCAGGTCCGAGGCCTCCGAGAGGCCCCTCCTAGGCCAGCCACCCCCTCTGACAGCCAGCCCCTCGGCCATCAGACCTGCCTCAGGTCCCTCTCTGGCCATCTGGAGAAGACTGCTCCATCTCTAGGACCCCCCAGAACACTGGGTCTCCCCAGACTCCTGGATGAGGACCATAGTCTGGCCTGGACAGTCTCCAGCGGGGAGAGGTGGGTGTCGGGGAGGCCCCCTGTCGCCCCCAGAGCTGCCCCTTCCTTGGGGTCCTGCCTTTCCCATCAGAAGCGCAGGGACTGAAAGAGCACACGTCCAGTTTTGAAGGGGTTCAACAGAGGGGGTTCCAGCAACATCTGAGGCTCTAATTCTTTTAAACAACAAGAAGGACAAGAGAAAGATCCTGGAAAACGGAGGAGCCCAGGTGAGAGACACAGTGAGCAGGAATCTGCACCGGCCCAGGGTTGGGGGCCCAGCCTCGGGGGGCCCAGCCTGGGTGCCTGTCTACCACCCCCATACCCCCTCCAGGCCAGTCCTCGGACCTCTCACGGACTGTCTCGGGGACCACCTGGTTTATGCGCATGTGTGTCATGTGACTCTGGATGCACCCCACCCCCAGCCCCCAGCAAAGGGGTTTCCCTTAGTTCAGGACCAGTCTTCACACCCAGGCTGGGACCCTCCCCGCTTCATCTTTTGTGACAGCGTGTGACCAATAAGCAGCCCCTTTCCTCCTGGGTGGTTTGCCACCGAGGCCTGCCCAGCCCCCAGCTCATCCCTGGGAGCTGGGAGTGTAGGGGGCAGGGCTCAGGCCCCAGGAGCACCCGGTTCAGATGTGGGGCCGCTGGGACTTTGCCGGGGGTGTTCCTCGGAGGGCCTCTGCCCCCAGGGCTCTCAGAGGGTGCATGCAGGGATGGCATGGGCCCCCGGGAAATTAGAAGATGGACACTTGGAGGGGCAGTCGCTCTGGGGACCAGAAGCTCAGCTCTGTGTTCAGGGCCCAGCCAGGTCGGGCATCACACTTAGAGACCAATCCGCCATCCTCAGAGTGCGGCCCCACTCAGCTTAGTGGAGGGGTGGGAGGGGGACCCCGGTGGAGTGAGGCCTGCCCTGCCCTGGAGCTGAGACCCTGGGGAGCAGCTGGGGAGGCAGTGGGCGGGGCCAGCCTAGGGTCCTCCCTGGCCATGTCCCCCTGCCCCACCCCGACGGACGGCCTTATTATGACTGAGTCTTCAGTCGCTGACCACGAACCTTTCCCCTGCCATCTGAGTCACACTGCGAGGGAGATTTCTCAGGTCAGCAGTGCGGTTACGGGGCCTGAGAGTGGCTCAGACAGTCTTCCCCCACACCCTCACCCCCACCTCTTCACCCCCCGATTCACCCGTTCTCTAGTTCCCTCCTTTCTTCTGCTTCACCCCCACCCCAGAGCGCTCCCTGGAGGTGAGGAGGGAGGCCAGTGCAGGGAGGCCCACCCTTACTGTCCTGGGGTCCAAGGAGGAGGCAGGAATTGAGGGGGGACCCCTGAGACCCTCTGGGGCTGTCCCGCCGCCTCGGGCAGCCCAGCCTACACTCCTGGGCACGTCCAGCTATTTGTTCACCGATGCACTCCCAGCTTCTGGGACAGGGCCTGGGCCTGGGCCTGAGCGGGCCCTACGGTGGCTCCCTGAGTCACGGTGTGAGGGACAGATGGTCGTGTGGCGGGCGGGCACTGTGCCAGCCGAGGAGCCCCACCCGGGCTCCCTGACATTCTGAGCACTCACGTACGTCCAAATATTTGAAAAGTCATCAACAACCGAACAGACGGTTGAGCCAGACACACCCCGCTCCCAGCCCTGATAAATACACCTGCACAGCCGGGGCAGGGCGAGGCCCCCCCGGCTCCCCAATTCCCCCTGGCCCTGCGAGTGGCTGCGGCCCACAGGTGCACACACGGGCCCGGGAGGTAGGCTTCCAGCGGCTTGCCTGAGGATCTGGGGTCTCGTTGTCCAGAGGTGGGGTAGAAGGGCAGCAGAGCCCCAGGGACGGACCTTGTGCCCAAAGCCCTCCGACCCCGTGGGAGGGGTGGAGAGGGGCCTGCATACGCCAGGCCCGCCCGAGTGGTGAGTGTGCACAGGAAAGCACGCTGGTGATGGCTGGTGGGGCTGACGCCAGGCAGAGAGCGCTCCCACCTCAGGGTCACTAAGACTTTCGGGAACCCCCCGGACTTCCCAGGACACCAGCCTCAGCGTCCTCATCTGCAATTTGGGAATGGCCACAGGGCCCGCCCGCAGGGATGCTGGGGGCATTCACTGAGATCACGTGTTTCCCCCGCTTAAGCTGTGC